ATCGATGCCCTCTGTATCGATGATTGAGGCTCGATGTCCTTTGCTCGCTCCGTTTCCAGCCGCTCTCTGCGCCTCCGGATCCCTTTCAGAGCGGCCTCCCTTCGTTTGAGTCCCAATCCGCGTCTCGCCCGGAGGCCTTCGCGCCCGCCGTGCTTTCTGAGGGCGACGGCCAGTAAGTCGGCCGGCCTGAAATATCTGCACCTTATGTCCGGATTCAGATAGCGCATGATGGATGGCACCTCCTCGAGATCCTCTCGAGAGAGGTAGAAACGGCGTCTGGCGGTGGTGTAATCGATCGTATGATACTTCATGTCGCTCCGTTCGCACCTTCTGCAAAGCGGCCCTGCATGCGGATATAAGGGAAACCTTCGCACGGTGATCCTGCCGCACCCGCCCATGCACTGTCTTCTCGTTTTGGAGAGGTCTTTTTGGGGTTTCACACAGAGCCGGAGGTGAGAGAGGAGGGAATCCTCCTGCGCCCGGAAGATGGACAGGTTGACGGAGCACGCGTGGGCCACGTTGCGTGCCTCCTCGAGGGTGAGATCCGCGCGGTCGATCAGGACCCCGAACACGTCAGCTAGGGTGCTTGGCGGCATCCCCTACCGTTCTATACCCCTTTCACTAAAAAACTCGCACGAGCACGCGAGATCTCCTCCCGGGCACGTGCCTCGACGCGAATATTTTCTCCGGGATAGAGTACCCTGACATGAGCATCGGTTCAAAATGTAATCAAACACGCATAACCCTGTTCGCTCTCGCTCTCGCCGCGTTCATGGCCGTATCTCAGGCCGAAGTATTGAAGATGGGATCCAGCGCTCCGGTGAGCGTCACGTTCTACGAAGAACCCGGAATGTATGCGAGCCAAGGATTGGGACAGTGCGGCTACGGTAGCGATGTCACCGGAGACACGGATTTCAACCGTCTCAGCCTGTACCCTCTCCACGTCGCCGCAGGAAATATGGAATTTCTCGGAGGCTGCGGAGCGTGCGGCACGCTGAGCTATAACGGCAAAGCGCGGTCGTACGTCGTCACGGACGTTACCGACGTCAAGGATGATCTCGATCGCCGAGGCGCCGCCTGGCCCCCGTACGGCAGTCACATCGACATGATGGGAACCGAGTTCGACTTCTTCCAAACCCTCCCCCGCAACGGCGATCAACTGGACTTCTCGAAGGGGGGTATCTTCACGGGCAACTGGACCAGAGTACCGTGCGAGACCATCGGAAGCCCGAACTACCCGGACGGCCCCGGTGGGCGTTACGTCGTCCGGACACAAGCATTCAATCGCTGGGCACGCGCGATCGTTGTATCCCGTATGCATGGAGTTGGCGAAGTCCAAAACATTGATTTCATGTCACGTAACGGTAACTTTTTCCCCGGTCGCAGAGTTGATGGCTGGGGTGCCTGGTACACTCCCGGTCAGGACTTGAGCGGGTTCGGTGGAGTAGGGTTGAAAATAACCATGGTCGATGGAACCGTCATCGAAACTCCCGACTATCCCCTCCCGGACTTTATGTTCTTGGGCACGGGGAACGTTTATATGATCCAACCCTAAATGCAAAATCGAGAAAACAAGTCTAGTGGTCGTAGTTCGTAGTCCGACTCTGCTCGCGTAGGACCTGAATCCGCCAGCTGTTCAGAATTATCACACGAGCTCTTCAACTACCCACTTCCATCTGAATCCGCCTGCTGTTGAACACCGTCCAGCCAACATGTTGCTTATGGATGAGGTTCCAAGTAGCCCCACTGCCCGTGCTGCGCTCCTGAAATTAGCATAAGTGCAAATTGCGCCACCGCTACTGTCAAGTTTTGCAACGGTGCGAACACTTCTCGTGTTGAGCGACTGCTGTTGCCTCGAAGCCCACCTCAGATTGGTAGCATTGTTGTTGCTCGGATTCCTGTCAATGTGGTCCACTGTATGATCTGACGTAGGCGCTGGTCCATGGAACGCGAGGCAAATCAACGTACGAACGCCGATGTTTCTGGTGACTCTCCTGCAGCAGCAGCAACTCAGGAGAACGCCCATCGACTCCGTCGCTGTTCAAAGTCATTCGGTATGTCTTGCTTGTAGCCCGAGTTTTGAGGTGGTCCTCGCCGTGGGGCGGCGCCTTCTCGCGGGTCGAATCCCGGATCATTCCGGCGTGGGGATCCCCAGAACGATCCCCATCCCCAATACGAACGTGCATCCTGGTTTTCAGTTTCCGCGTCTGCCTGGTATTGGTAGGGTCGCTGGGGTGTCGGTCGAGGAGAAGGAGCCCGCTGTGGAGCCGGATCATGGGGCGGAGCCATGGACTCCTTCGCGTCCGGGCTCTTCAGCCTCTCGATCAGCAATTGTGTTACGACCTTACGGCGATTACGATTGAGACCCGTCGGTGATGGCTTGTCGGGGTGGTACTTGAGGAGTAACTGTTTGATGATCGGAGCGGTGAGTGGTATGTTCCGATCGTTCGCAGTTAAGAGTTCGTCGAGCTTCTCGTCCCCTTTCAATCGCCGCCTCGCAATCCCCTCTCGCTTCGCCCCTTCGACGAGTGTTTTCAGTTTATCTATCCAAGTGGGCATCGCGGGCTGCGACGTAGGTTTCTCCTCTCGTCTCACTAACCTCTCCTTCTTTGCGTCCGCTCGCAGCTTCATCACCTCCTCTCTTTCTCGATTCTTCCTCCTGTTTTCTTGCTCGCGCGCATCGTTCACTCCTCGATTCCGCACGCTCTCCTTCGGCGCACTCCCACCTTCCCGCTTATCCCCGGCCCCTCCTTCATCCCGCGTGGGTACATTTCGCCCGGTTTGCCGCGCGTTCGAAGCGAACTCATTCACGACCCGCTGTACGTCGGCCTCCAGCGGACCCGTGCGGCTCGCGGCTTTTCCGGCGGGTCCCGCTGATCCGGGCCCGCCGCTACGTATCGCTTCAGACATGCGGCTCTGAAGTCCTTTCATGGCCGGCGGGGCCCATCGGGCGTCGGTCTTCCGTGGTTCCTCCTCGGCGACCTGACTGCGTCGGTTCGTCCAGATACGCTCCGCCGCTTCGATCCTCTGCCGGATTGCGGCGAGCGCCTCCCGGGCCGCCGTCAGAGCTGCCTGCGCGGATCGTTTTGCAGCTTGACTACGTGATCCTTTCACGACCCCTTCGAGGGTCCTAACCTTGGTCTCCGCGAGTCTCAGCGCCCTCGTGTCGCGCTCCCTCCTAGCGTCGTCCTCGAGCTTCCGAGCATTCGGAGACGCCTTTGCAGCCTCGTCCTGTTGACCCGCTTCGGCTTTTCGCGGGTCGTTCTTCCATATCAGCAGCTTCCAGTCGTTCGCTTCTGCTTCGCCGCCTTGCATCCTCGCCCTTGTCCTAAGACGCATGGAAAAAGCACAGTCTTCGTTGAAGAGTCGCGCATTATTTTCGTCTTTTGCGAAGCACCACGCTCATTTCCCGTCTCCGTCGACCGCAATGACCGCCGCTCTCAGGTGCTCGCACCGAACTCTGACCCACGTCGAGCGCGTCTTGTCCAGGACGCACGCGAAGCGCAACAACGACCTGCGCATCTCAGCA